CCCCCCCGCCGTGGGCCAAACAGTTTCTCCATGTACTGAATCTAGTCCGTGGGCCATATATTGCCCACTCCTGTCTTGGATGCTGGCATCTGAGTATCTCCACCCTACTAAAACACACACTTCCCTAATAAGAAAATACTAATATTATAAAAGCCTTAGTCTGTCTGTCTGCCCATCCATACGTAACACTTTATTCGCACTCTGACTGGCCATCTTGGCAGCCAATCAGAGTGTTCTACAGAGTCAGGGACAGATGGTGGAGCACCACCATGATAGTGGGAACTGAGGGGCCGTAGGGGAGAGAGGCGAGGCCAGAGGAGCAGAGCTGAAGGGCAGGGACCAGAGCGCCACCATAACGGAGGGGACAGAACAGGGGGACGAGGCCCAGGCACCGGCCCGAAGCAGCAGGGAGGAAGGTGGGGAACAGCCCAGGCCCCAGTCTGAAAGGAGCGGGGGGCCAGACGCAGGCTTCTGTCCCTGCCCATCCCCTGTCATTCTTGATGGGCTATTTGCTAGAGTTCCAATATTACACTGGGGTTTCATCTGTCAAATATATTGAGTCTTTTGTTTTACACAGTCCTATAGAAAAATGGACAAGTATGTATAATAATACAATGCATACTGAATAGGGATCTGGACCAATCATCCCTCTAAGGCCAAAACCTTACAACATAAAGCAGAAGCCAATTTTTGCATAGGCAATACAAATGTCATACCTATGAGAAAAATTAAGTCTATTGCCCACAAGGATGTATTCACTCGTGTAAATTTCTAGTAAAGAAAAACCCACATATACTTGTTTTCATGAGTTACGACATACCTAATGTCAATATCTATATAGGTATAACTCAGCATTACGTTTTGCTTCCTTTACCAAAAAGGAAATTACACTGAAAATTTAATTAATGGAAAATGATCAAGTTTACATTTATACCACCACTGCCATATAAAGCCTCAGTTTAACTCAACATATCTCTGAATCTCCTAAGTAGCTATTAATACAATATATGTACTATACAGGGTCAAAGATGACCAAGATAAATAGCCAGCAAGAATATGCTTTTCCCCTATGGATTCTGGAAATTAACATATCCAGACTCGTTTTTCAGATGATAATTTTGCAAATAGAGCAAATGTTACTGTTTATGTTTTTTACCTAAACATGTCTAACTAAGACCTTTTTTCTGCATTGTACCTTCCATGAAACAGTTTGCCAGCCATTGTTAATACCTCATCTTTGAGCAGATGCTAGAAAACAGATTTTTTCCATCAGAAAGTTAGTTATTTTCAGGCAGGAATAAAATCTACATTTTTTTATTACTGAAGTCATGCAGATGGACAATGCACTGCAAGGATTTTGGCTGGATATTTTCTTCTTTCTTGCTTTATATTTTTAACAGTCTAAGGAGCTATTAACTTGTATACTGAGCAGAGACAGCCTTGCTTTAAAATATCAAGAGTTTCTGCCAGGAGTCAGGCCAGAAATAAGTGCTATGACAATAGACAGGAGACACTCATAATGACAAGCTCCTTTCATTTTAAGAGAAACAAAAAAAATTGTCCCTTTCTTTAGATGGGAGTCTTAAAAGAGGCTATGTTGAATGTTATACAGAAATCATCCTGATGTCATTTCAAAAGGTTGGGAGGTTCCCTTTGAGGATGTTAGAACTGCTGTGTTTTCTATCAACTGCAGTACATAGTAGCTACAAGAATAGACGGCTGTCTTAAAATTGCGCAATGCAAAGACAGCTTAGACGTTCAAGCCAAACTGAGCTGCAAAATGCCCACATTACTGAGACAAAAGATGCAGAGTCAGATTCCTGGCATGTATAGGAGGATGTCAGATATCCACCACTCAGTACTGCTCTCCAGTGTGCAGCATTCATCACCACAGAGGGCAGAATTGAGCAGAGCGCATGCTATATCTCACCAGAATTATACACAAGTAGAGACAGGATTCAACTGTTTCACTAACAGAATCAAAGTTAAATATGCAGGTGTTATTTAGATTCATTTCTAAAAAGCCAAGATTCTGCATCGTGCCAAAAAGGAATACTGAGCTCTAAAGGCCCATTAAAAAAAATGAAATATTCCCTTCACAAACATTTTATGTAAAAATTAAAAGAGTAAAAATAAAATGTTAAAATAAAAAGTAAAGTAAAAATACCAGTTCCTCCCAGTCACCAGCATCTCATATTGCCTGCTTCTTCCTAACATTCACATCTGAAATTTCTTTAAAGAACAAGGATTTCTGATGATCTAGGTAGATGACTTGTCACAGGGGATGAGCAAAAAAAGCAAAGAAATGCTGCATCTGATGATTTAGATGCCAAAACATAAGCAAGTAATACGTTATCCAAAAGGCTGTTTTCAAAGGTACTAAATGCAAAGCATCTAATCATATTTTCCTTGTCAGCAGATCTCAGCTAGTCATTCTTTTTTTTTCCTTAACGTAAGTAATTGCTTGGCAGCTCATCTTTGAACAGGAAACTCCAATCACCATCTAGTTTTGGTGAAGACTGCCTGGAAAAGAGAAAGACTTCTACCTTTACCCTCACTGAAAAGCTTAATTCCAAAGGATAGTACTTAATTAGCTGTGAAATCTTAAGGCCACTAATCACTAATAAAGCCTGATCTTTAGATCAGTTGACAAACAGTGGCCCCAGTGACTTTGAGAGCTCTAGATTTAGTTTTACATTAATAATTTAGCATCAGAACCCAAATTATATTTCAAAAACCAAACACACACATTTCTAACTGAGCAAAGAGGGGTAGGAGGGAGAGGGAGGGAGCAGCGCTCCGAGGAGATCTAGGAGCCTAATTCCAATCCTGGCTTTGATGCTGACTCCTCCTGCAGTTTAAGAGCATTCATATAACCCAACTCTATTTCCCCACCTTAAAAAATAGCAAAACTTGCTACAAGATTTTCTGGAGGCTACCTGAAACTTAGCATATATTACTGATCAGAACAGCAAGGCAGGTAATAAATGCATACTAGATACATTTTCTCAAAACAAAAAATTCTGAAGTTAGTTTGATTTCACTCCCCTTTGAACAAAGTTCATCTGAAATTGATACGAGATTGTTACAGTCTTTGTCCAAGAAAGAAAAAGAACTGCCTGTTTTCTGTGATAGCTTTACACCCATCTTTTATACTGCTTACCTTTTAACTCTAAATGCTCTGTCAGGCAGTTACACAAAGGAGACCTCCCAGTTCAAATCATGTCTCTCACTTTACTTTTTATGCCTAGTTCCTTAGAGGGGTTGTGCGCGTGAGTGGTTTGACTAGTAGCCTTCAAGCTGACAGCTCCTGGTTTGTTTACAGATTCAGCTGCATAAACCCCCAGTGAATGAAGTTTTAGTGCTAGCATCCCCACACTACAAGAAAAACAGCATGCTCCTTCGATAGCGACAAGAGACTTAAACTGGAAATGCTTGATCAACTTCAGTTTCATCATTCTATTACCCAGACAACACAGATCAATTTATCTGACCATTTTAGATTTGAATTAAAAAAAAAATAGAAATAGCACTTTATTTGCAACCTTAACAGAAAAACAACTCTTACTTACAATGAAGATGCTTCTAAGAAGCCTGTATGTTTTTATACCACAAATGAGCTGTTCATTGTAAAACAAGCAAAACGAACATGAACTCAGATATAAGCAAAAAAAAATGTCCTGTTAAAATACAGCTGCTCTTCATATTTCACATAAAATAAAACTGAGAACAAAGCAACTAATGAAGCATTTTAAATCAAATAAACTCACCGTTAAGAATACTGTATTCCCATACCTTGGTCAAAGAAAGAGGCAGACATCAAGGCACTGGTGTTGGACTGAGTGGATTTAATAGTGTTTGAGAATTGACAGGGGAAGCATTTCATCTTCCGCAGTACACTGATTCGTTTGTGTATTTTCATCTGTGTTAACACGCTTGTTGCCAAATAAAATGGGTACTAGCCTTTTCTTAAAAATGGTAATTAGAATCCCAGTGAGTTACAGGCAGGCTTATTTTTGTCCGTCAGTGCTGCAATGGGCAACACAGCATCTACAGAACGTGCTGCTTTCTCTTGCCTCCTCCCTTTTGTGCATGCTATTTTTTGCTATAGTCTCTAGGTGGGGGTCTTGCAATCACACAGGGCTTCTCTTACCACTGCCCAGGAGCTTGGAAATGATCCGTGTCACAAGCAAACAGTCCCGTGGAAAAAAATCTGAGGCTGAGGGAGTGCTGATGATCTATTAAGTCCATACCACCAAAGCCTGTCAGAAATATGTAACATTTTACTGCAGAGAGCATACAAGCGCTCTCCTCCACCCTCAAACACCAGCATCAGATAAAAACAGCCACCGAGAACTGTACATATTTGATGTTCCTTGAAGGATATGATAAAAGCTAGCATCAATCTGCTGACAGAGCTGTAAAAAGTCGCTGAATGAACACTGCAATTCACCCACTCTTAAGAGACCACATCTCTTTTTTTTCCTGTCCTGAGATCTGGGTGCTAATTTTTGACACTAACAAGACATATTCTGGCATCTTTAAAATCGTGATGCAATTTTTTTAAAACAGTGGCAGTATCAGAGCACAGGAAAGAGGAAGACTTTATTCTGATGGAGACAAAGGACAGAAATCATCATCATCTGGGTTTTTATATGCACCCCCCCGTGGTACTGGAGTCCTCAGTAATCACATTACTCTCACATCACTATAAAAGGTAAGCAAGTGCTATGACTCAAAAATAAAGGAACAAAAACTCAAAGATGAATTGACTCGTCCAAGGAAGTCTGTAGGTGTCAAGGACTGAATCCATCTCTCTCAAGTCCCAGCCCAGTGCTTTATACCTAAAAAAAAAAAATTGCCTTAGATTGTGAAGGAGATCTATCACAGTGATTCTCAACCAGGGTGATGGGAAATCCTTTCAAGAGTTCGTAGACTGCAAGTAGCTAAGCAGATTAGCACGGGTTGAGACACAGCCCTTGCCTGGCTGTTCCCCTGATCCATTGTCCAGTATTTTTCAAGGAGATAAGCTCTCTAAATAAATTAGTTTCTGAAATGGGGTGCTGTTCAATTATAAAAGCTCTGGAGGTGGGCCTCAAGTCTAAAAAGGTTGAGAACCACTGATTTCTAGGAGACTGATAAGCATAGGTGAGAAAAAAAAAATCTCCAAGAACTTTATCCCACTGGAGGAATTGATGTCATCTTTTATCTGCTACACCAACGTGATACCAAAACAGACCCTCTTACATGCAATTTTCTGTTTAAAAACTTGATACTGATCATGTTATTCACTGAATTAGGATATTAATGCACAATAGCGTAACAGCTCTAGCAGGATCATTAACAGAAGTTATCAAAAAGATAGCTGCAGCTTAGCCTAAGTATTCCATGCTCCAATTAGAAAGATTGTATCAACTGCTTATATATTAACATTCACATGAAACACAAAACCAGACTCATAATCTGATTGCTACTAATGCTTTCTGTTGAACAAATATCATTTAAATAATAAAGCAGTAGTTTTAGGTAGATAGATGATATGAAAATACAAGAGGTTTACAGCAGGTTTGTTCAAACAGAACTGAGCAGGAAACATGTGATTTTACCAATTCATGCATCTCAATTAAGTGAATCGAGAAATTCAAGAGCGAGTTATTACAACCTAGAATTATTAAGGAACGCTAGCACTGACTGACTTGCAGGTATATTTTTAGAAACTAGCATTTCCTCCCTTCCCTTGCAGCACAAGTAAAAAGCAAGTCCAAGAGATTCCTAACTAAAAGTCTTAAAAAAGGACAGGCAAACGTACATCACCAGGTTGGTTCCCTGCAGCAGCTGTCATGAAGAGGTATAATGGAGGACGCTTCCACGGCACCTAACTTCCTGCTCTTTCTTCCCACCATAGCTTAAGCAGAGTTCTCCCAAATCTAAAAAGGAAACAGAAGTGACCTGATCTCTCTTGCTCATTAAGTTGGTATGGGACTACCATTTTTTAACGCAAGATAGTACTGGCTCATTTTCTACACTAAAACAAAAATGCCATTAACAACTGAAAACAGGCAACTCAAGACGGTCAATTAGAAAAATCCTCACATTTTATTTATTTAACAGTCCTCCATCTAAGACTGCTTTTCCCCCCCACTACCTCTTTTCCTTCGCTGCCTTTGTCTCTCTCCTTCCCCAAGAGCCGAGTTAGGAATTACACTTGGGGGCCTTCCTACAGTCTGGCTAAATAGCAGATTCAGTAACAGCCCAAGTCTGGTATTCACAGGAATAAAGAACAGAGAAATCCTCCTAACACAACTGAGCTTAATTTCTGGCCCACTGGCCAGATACAGCCTGCAGAGCAATATCCTCCAGCCCATGGGCTCCCTATGGATTTGGAAATTTGGTGGTGGGTAAGCAATGGCAGCAATAATTGCCATTCCCCTGCTGCCAAGTTTCTGGTTCCATGGGCCAGTTGGCATGGTCCTGGCATAGCAGACCAGCAGTCCACGCTAGGGCCAGCACATGGCCAGATCTAGTACACAGGGTCATGCACCACATGGATTGGTCCCACACTATTCATCTGGCCTGTGGAGCCAGAACATTGAGCACCACTGTCTTAACAGACCATCCCCTGATAAAATCCCATTCAAGCCTATGGCAAAACTCCCACCACAGAACTAGAGTTAGTTAAATATCCTCTTTTACAGATGCTACAAAGCAAGAGGTAAGAACTTCTGTAGTGGACAACTACAGAACAATTTGCCCATGGACAAGTTTTTACTAATTATTCAGTGGTTAAAAATTAGCTTACAGAAAAACATTTTATAAAAGGTATACACTTTCCTGTTTTTTTTATCCCCATACAAATACAAATCATCACAAATTTAAATGTCTCAATTTTATCTTGTGACAGCAACCTCCACAGGTTAGCATACCATGTGAAAAAATCACTTCCTTCCATTAATTTAGACTTGTTCACTGAATGCCTCCTGTTCTGAGGGAGGAAAAATAGCTACTTCCCATTTTGTATAACTTCCATTATACTCACTCTTACTTGTTTCTTAGCAAAGTAGGGCCAGTGTTTTCAATCTTTTCCGAGACAGGAAACTACTCTCCACATAGACAATAGCTTTCATTACCAATCGTCCTTTGTTCCCTTCCTCACCATCTACTCAGAGAAGCTATATAATTTCCATCATCGCAAGTTTAAGCAGCTGTTAGACAGAGAGTATCCTGTGCTGAAGAACAAGACTTGACTGGATGACCTTGAGGCTCTTACCAGCCCCCGTTTTCTAGGATTCTTCAGTCTTAGATATTTTTGGGGGGAGGGGAGAGGGGGAAGCAGGACAGGAAAACAAAACAAACAAACAAAAACCCTCTGTAAGCTTCCACTGGAACTAGACAGGTATGCTGCATGCTAACAGCAGCCTGAAAATACCACATTATGATTTTGGTGTCATTGCTAGCCCAGCAATATGGCCATTAGATCTTAACCTTTTTGCTAAGAGTGGTTTTCAGAGAGCAGATGCTCAGTACTTTCTGAAAGCATCTCAGTCTGGATACAAAGAAAGTGAGATGCACAAAAAGACTAATGCTTCTGAAAACATTAACCTTCCATTGTAATTCTTGGTGTGATTACTTGGCTAGTTTATCAAAAACAGCTTAAAACAAGCCCATGCTTTATGCCAACTGAGTGCCAACCAGCTTTCAAAATGGTGTAAGATACTCACATCTTCAGCTGCAGTGGCTTGTTGGATTTTGGCTACTGAGGTCACATGGAAATCAAAATAAAGAAATTAAATAAGATGGTAATCAAGATGGTATGTGCAACGTGTAGCCCACCAAGGCCATAAGCACTTCTTTTGGCTCAGTACAAACATGTTCATGACTTGCAAATCCTCTCCAGACTCTCATCCTGAGCCTGTGAGCTGAAAGCAAAAATCAAATCATTATGATTACCCTAAGCCAAGGAGAATCAAACTTGCCTCCTCTCGCAGACACAGCAGCAAGGTGAGTGGTAACAACATGAGGGTTAACACAGCCATGGCCCACTCCCTGCTCCCAACATGACCACAGTGGGGTTCTGGACCCCAGATTTCAGCAGCAGCCCCACTCAGGATTTCTCCATTCCTCCAGAGGCCCCGTGGGCCATAGCTCCATGCGCCACCCGTTTGACAGCCCTGCCCTAAACAATTATAGAAATCTTACTTTTTATGCAAGTGAGTGAGTGCACACACGCGCATGTCAGGGAATGATGCTACTCTATGACAAGAATAGTGCTCTTACATAGATGGTGCGTCAGCACACTTAAGTGAGAGACTGCAATTCAAGCCCATATCTAATCACCCAGCACCACAGAGCACTTCTAATTAAGAAATAAACTGAGGCAAAGATATTAAACAAGCATCTTACAGGCCCTGCACAGCTCCAGTTGGAAGCTCCTGGTAACAGAGCTTCTGCCAGTATAACAGAACAGTCTGCTGTGTCAGGCCTCCTGAAAGCCTTGTAAAAATAACTAAGCCTCCCTGCTAAAGCAGCTGCAAGCTACAATTTCTTGCAACTGGTCTTATTTTATGTGCATACATGTGCACATGTTCTTCATTCTGACAAGTTGCCCTGAATTTGCTATGCCTTTCAGCACCACCTTTCCTCTCCTCGCTTTTCTTTTGTTTTTTTGCTAGAGCACTAAAAGTAAAGAGAAGACTACCATGCAGTCACAAGAAAAACTAACCTTCACTATGGAGATAAATTTTGCTACAGAATCAAGGACAGACTTTTCTATGTAAATGTGAAGACAGATAAGCATCCTAGCTAAAAGCCAAAGGAACTGAACAAGACTGTTGCTTTGATAGAAAATAATACACTTACTACAGGAAGCTTTAATATGGATTGATTTTTCACATTTAGAATCCACTCTGGTAACAATCACTTGGAAATCCTAATCCACGTTACCATACTGAGCTCCATGGGCCAGATCTGATCCATACTGATTGACTAACTCTTTTAAGTAAGCCACCATCCAAACACCATCTGGTCTGATCCTATGCACGACACGAAGCATGCAAGGCTGGTCCGGCATGCAGACTGTAATCAGTACCATGGGCAATGCATACAGCATAAGGGGTGGCTCCAGGGCACGCAAATACCCACACTGGCTCTAGCACACACAGCTTGGGACCCGATCCAGACTGGCACTGGAGCCAACACAAGCCCAGTCCAGTCCGCACACTGCATGCAGTGCAGGCTGGATAAGTCTGACACCTCTGTTTTAAGACATGGCAATGGAACCAGACCATCCCAACTTTTTCCCTGTGTCTCTACCATTCTAAGAGAGGATAAAATACTTGCCAAAGTCAGTGAGAAGGAATGGCTGGGACACAGACTAAAACAATAGCAGTTTGAAAAAAGAAACTCTTAAAGAGCTGAGCAATAAAAAAAACTCAGCTATAAACTCTGTCAGCATCAAGTATCCTTCTGCCAATAGGCAAGACTCATTCGTGCCTAAATATTGAAGCAGTCACATTTACTAAGCAAGAACCCAGTTGCCCAAGACATTCAGTGGAAGCAGCATTAACTTCACTTGGGGAGTAAAGATTGCAACTGTTGCAGATTCCATAGGGTAAATTTAAGGAATATGTCACTGACCTTTATTATAAACAAAGTTGCACAAAATCAGTGAAGGTGGGTATAGTAAGTCAATAATTAGATATACTTTTATTTTTAAAAGAGCCGGGACTGCTAAAGCTGAAACATTATGGTTTGGGTTGTAACACAAAGCCAAGCAAAAAAATTCTCCTTTGAAGGAGGGGGGGGGCAGCATTTCCTTACTTTTTTTTTTTGGAATAGGGCAAAGAGTCGCCCTATGTCTGTCTCCCTTACTTGCAAGGATGCGTACACATCCATGATAATTTGTTATTCAAGTACAAGATTCTCTGTCAAAAGGCAACCACATCAGGATTCATGTGAAACTGAGAAATCTTCAGCCAGATTAGTTATAAGAGATGAGCCACTCAAAGAGGGCAGGCTGCCCACACTAATTAGTGAAGCGTGAATAAATATATGTATTTAACTTCCTAACTGATTTCATGCTGAAGGAACAACAGGTTTGAATAAGCATCTCACTGCAGGCAACTGGAAAGTTGCTTTACTTTACCCACCTTTTCTGCTTCTCAGTACGTTGGCCTTAAAATTGAATAATAAGGAATTCTGTGAAACAACACACAAGCAGAGGCAGAGGAGGCAACTTTAGTCAACCAGAAGAGCAGCTGTGCTGGAGAAAAAAAAACAAAAAAACACGACAACTTGCCCCACTATTGGCTCATCTACTTAATAAGGGTAAAACGCAGAAAATTCAGCAGTACAAATTAGCGAGCTGACCATACTTTAATGCACTGACTTAATTCCATAAAGTGTGTTTTTGGTGACATTAAAAACAAGTTGTACTAAACCTCACAGTCTTGTAGTAGTAGCAGCAGGATATTTATTTTTATTGGTAGAGCAATAGCTACATGCTTTAATGTTCTATGAACTCTGTACAAACACTGCTTAGAAAACATACTTGGTAGGCAACACGTGTCACCTAGTCTACAGTAGTAAGTCAACCACAGCAGCTAACAAAGAGCTTTTATTTCACTGGTTCAAAAAACTTTCTGCCTAAGTTTTTGGAACCGCTTTGGTACATTGTCCAAGTACATACAAACCCAGCAAGTAAATCAGCATTTACACAAGCCAAGCAATCCACTCATGTTGCCAAGGAGTCTGAACAAGGAATAGTACTATTTCAAAGCATTTAGGTACTTATTTGCTTTTTCTACCTTCCTACGGGCCTGAAAAAATCTGGAATTTTCTAAGAGGACCATTTCCCCCCACTGCTATGCACTTTGGTTTCTATTTATACATCAATCCATTATCTGGGCCAATGGTTCTCAACTGGGTATCATAGCCCCTCAGCAACATATTAGTTTTTGAGGCTGGGTGGCACTTGACTCGCACAAGTTACAAAAGGATGCCTCAAGTCCCAAACGGCTGAGAACCACTGGTCTAGGCTGATAGTTTTCTTCCCACAGATAGAACGAAAAAGCAATTTAGAAGTCTGAGTAGGGTGCTACCTCATCAGAAGCTGCCAGCTTCCACTCTGGAGATTATTATTATGAATAAACCAGTTGTTGCTGGATTTCTTCATAGTGGCTTCAGTGAACTGCCAAGTCTGTGAAAACTACAGGAAACCAATTATTCCTGATCATATGCCTTGGTCCAAGTACATGGGCCTCCCAAAACATTTGTCAGATCAGACACTTGCAAGATGCATGAAAAAGGCAGTCTGTCTACACCTATATTCCAGGTTTAATAAAAACTAATACAAATATGAAAAGAAATACAGGTGAGTGCCTACTTGAACTTCTACAGAGAAAGCATCTACAGACAAGGCTGATGCTCATGAGCACTCGTGGTCATCTGGCCAGGTGCCGGGGGATTGGAAACTGGCTAACGTGGTCCCAATTTTTAAGACTGGGGGTCTTCAAGAGGACTGGGGGTCTTCAAGAGGAGGTTAGATAGGCATCTAGCTGGGGTCATCTAGCCCCAGCCCTCTTCCCTGCCTATGCAGGGGGTCGGACTCGATGATCTATTGAGGTCCCTTCCGACCCGAGCATCTATGAATCATCTAAGAATCTATAAGGGGAGGAAGGAGGACCCAAGTAATTATAGGCCTGTAAGCCTCACCTCAGTGCTCGGGAAGCTCTTGGAGAGGATCATCAAGGAGCATATCTGTGAGGGGCCTGCAGGGGAGATCATGCTCAGGGGAAATCAGCATGGTTTTACCAAAGGCAGGTCCTGCCAGACCAACCTGATTGCCTTTTACGACCAAGTAACTAAATCCTTGGATGATGGTGTTGCTGTGGACGTAGTCTTTCTAGACTTTACGAAGGCCTTTGACACTCTCTCTCACTCCATCCTCATCAATAAATTAAGTGACTGCGGCATTGATGCCTGCACAGTTGGATGGGTAAAAAACTGGCTGATGGAGCGCACCCAGAAAGTAGTGGTGGATGGGTTGTACTCAATCTGGTGAGATGCGAGCAGTGGGGTAACCCCATGGCTCGGTCCTCGGGCCCGCACTGTTTAACATCTTCATCAGCGACTTGAACGAGGGGGTGGAAAGCACGCTGTCCAAGTTTACTGATGACACTAAGATGTGGGGCGAGGTGGACACACTTGAAGGGAGAGAGAGGCTGCAACTAGATTTAGACAGACTACAAAAGTGGGCAGACGAGAATAGGATGGGGGTCAACATGGACAGCAGCAGGGTGCTGCACCTTGGGAGAAGGAATCCACAGCATACATACAGGTTGGGGAGTTCCCTTCTTGAACTCTGGAGGTAGTAGCACAGATTATGAAAATCTGTTACTCTCTAGGGTAGTGGTACTCAAACTTACCCAGCCTCACAGGCCAAATGAATAGTGCAGGGCCAGTCTGCAGGCCAGATCCAGCACAGGGTCAGTACTCACCATGGGGGGGGGATGATCCCACACATCAGGGGATCCCACACATCAGTCTGATCCTAAGCCAGATGTGGCTCGGGAACTCCCCACACTGAGTCCAAAAATCTGGCCACAGGGCAGAAGCAATTTATGCAATCACCACTCCTCCGCTGCCAAGTTTCCAGACCCATGAGAGATCCCCAAAGCTGCATGATAGGGTTCTGTGGGCCAGAGGTTGAACCCCACTGGTCTTGGGGATCTATGGCCCAATCCTTCCATTAAAGCTTAAATCTTCTAGACTACTCTAAAGAAAGACCCACCAGCCAATGCACTCAGTGCTGCTAGAGACAAAAGTTAAGACAGTCTCTGTTCAAGAGCTTAAAACATTCTAAGATACTAAATGGAAGCAGAGATTTTG